GAAGTTACGTCCGGGGAGAGTTGAAGTTGCGACGCGCCTCCAGCTCCGAGGACTCCGTCAAGGCCAGGCTGAAACAGCGAGAGCCGTCTTCCAGAAGCTGGGCCAAGGGCTGCAAGCCGTCCCGCACCTGCCATCAATGCATCAATGCTTACAGGCTGCCCAGAAATCACTGCCAGATCCTGCCGGACCTGCGTCTAAACAAAAAGGAGACTTAAACTCCTGGCCTCGCCCAGCACCGAACCTAAGCTGCAAAAAGGTCATTCCGACGCTTGGACTTTGGATGCGTGGGCATACTCTCAGTTGGAATAGTTCTTGCTGGGTCACCTTCCATCTCATCCACGGCTTCCCGTATGATGTGATGCGCTGCCGAGATCCAGTAGTCAGTCATCGGGCGCGTCATGTCGCAGGCGCCAGCTTTGCAGAGGTCCGGCCGAAGAGCCTCAACAACCCCAGAAGAATTATTGAAGTGAACAAGTACTGACAATCAGATGGGACCCGGAGCCACGCCAAATGATCAAGTGTCCCTCCCACCTTCTTACACTAGTAAGGAGTTGTTGGACAAACCTGTGGACAGCAAAGCCACGGGCCTTCAAATCGTGGACAGTTGTGTACTACAACTTGGGCTTTTGCCCAGATCGACTTTTGGTGCCAAGCTTACGCTCACCTATTCCTCTCCACCAAATGCGCTGGCGTAGAACAAGCTCTCTCAAAGACTTCCAATATGAGCATAATGTGTCCAACCCAGCTTCAATGTGCTGAATTTTAATGTGCGTCATGTCAAGCGTCCTCATGCGTCTAATGCACCTCTCACCGGCTGGGGCTGGACAAAGGAGCAAGCGGGTGAGCCTCTGGTTGCAAACAAATCCTCAAAGCTGAACACTATGAGTAGGTGAAACTGTGGAAGCGGTAGCTTTCCATTGTCCAACGAGCCCTATGTCCAATACATCCAACACTCATCAACATGCATCAACATGTCCAGTTCCTTCAGGGCGCCGAATTGTTGGGTGCGCATAGGGTGCAGGAGAGGCCGACCAACGTCAGCTGGCCATCCGCCACCAAAGGCTCCTCCATGGACTTCAGCTGCGCGGCCGCGCTTTCCACCACGCCGCCTAGCGATGCTTCGCTGAGGACTTAGCTTTGCTAATGGTCGAAACGGTCGAAATGGCAAGATCTGGAATATGATGGCAGCTCTTCGGGAGCCTCTCTGCACAAAGGAAACTTGGGGTGAAGTGGATGGATACTATTTGAAGAAAACCTGCATTCGAAGCGCGGCACCACGTTAACCCAACATGTTGCGTGAAGCCAGGGCGGGGGGGGAACACTTGGAAGACACTCAGTTGCGCAGGCGTGCAATTCGTACGTGTTTACCAGCTTTTTTGTAGAGAGCCTGCTTTGCGCTTCCTCAACTTGCGGCAGGGCGGGGGGAGCTGTTTTGGTGCTGTGGCACAAACTTCCAGCACTTGCAAGAGACATAGTTGCTGCAGCAAACTTGCTCAAGTGGCCTCAACATGTATGCTAGCTCGCAGGATGAGGGGAGCGGGGGAAGCTAGCAGCTAAATAGGGAGTGGGCCTGTTTGGTTTTGTCATGTTGGGCGTTGGGCCTGGGCTTTCGGGCTGACGTGCCTGACCTGTTGCGGTGCACAGCCTGTTGTGGGGGTCTTCTTATCATATTGAGCCTGGGAGTTCAGTTTGGCTGAACTGCTACCGGATTGTCTTGTCATGCTGCGCCCGTGAGCAGTCTGACGTGGCCCAGCTGTTCTCTCGAGTGACCCCTGACTCTGACCACGTGATGCTTGGGTGTTCTTATCATGTTGCGCCTTCCTGTTCTGACGCGACCCACCTGTTGTGTGTGGCTCTCGTATCAGCCTGACTTGCATTGCTGGCCTGTTGCGGCTTGCTTTAGACGCTGTGCCTAACGCAGATTCGCAGAATTGTGGATATGTTGACCAAATGGACCAAATCAAACGCAGGCCTTATAAGTCTCGAAAGGGAGCAACTGGCAACTGCGGCAAGTCAGGAACACCAAGGCAGTCCCTATGCCCAATGCTCCTAGGGCCACCCTAGGCATCTCAACAGCAGTGCAAAGTACAAACGCAATTCTTGACAAGCGTCGCTCTTCGTTCTGCACTTGAACCAGAAACCAGCTCCATTTCTCCAGTGTCATTGAAGGCGATGACATGTCGCCGAAGCCTGAGCGCCCATTCTCAATGCTGGCTGGTCCCCGCGCGCGGCTGATGTCAAAACGAGGGCCTCGTTGGCTGCACTGCACCCTCGCCCTGCAGACGAGACACGGTTTTGCAGCTTGGGTTCCAAGAGCAGCTGCTCCAACAGCAGCATGGGCTGCCTGAGCGAGAAGCAAAGCGTTGAGGGACACGGCAATGTCCTGGATGAGTTGGAATTTTAACTTGTATAGAGCCGCTCCATGTACTTTGTTTCTGGTTGACCCCTGTCAAGGTTGAACGCGGACAGCACTATGGCAAATCCCGGCTTCAAGTATGATCTGCAGCTTGCAGGAGGGCTGCAACTCAGGGACAAGCAACCGGGGCTGGCCATGAACCCAGTAGCCGCTTTTGCAGGCTCTTAACTCTGCCAACGACATGTTTCTAGCAAACTGTCAGCAGGTCCTCGGAACCGACTGGTCTCAACATCTGATTCATTGTGATTTGCCCATGGGCAACCGCTGGCTTCAAGGCCGAGTGAGAACAAGGCACAGCACCGCCCAAAAGTCGTCAAAGCTGGATGTGACCCGGAAGAGGCCGCTTCCCGCAAGAGCCTCGCGGCAACACGTGGCACTGCAGAGCATAAATTAATGTTAACTGCAGAAATCCATCGCCCTCCAACTGCAACAGCTGCGGTTCCTGCCTGGCCATCGGCAGACATGGAGGCGTCCTCTTGCAACAGCAGCCTTGGAGGGAAGCACCATGAGAGCGGCACAAAAACGCGGCATGCGCGGCCATGGCCTGTGGAGTAGCTGGGCGCAGTCATTCGCAGATATTTGGTCTTTGCCCTGGCCCAGGCAAGCCAATGCCGGTGCCGGAGGCCCAGAAATCGCCCAGTCGGGCACTGGACCCTCTGACTGAGACACAAATGGGAGGGTTCCCAAAAGTGATCTTCGAAGGGTTACGGTTCCGCAGAATCGTTTGTCGAAGTTCCGAATCAGCTCCTGAAATTACATGCAGTTTTTGCCTAACTTCCAAAAAACTTTGTCGAAGTTCCGCGGTGCCGGAAATTCAGTCGCGCGCCCCTTGCCGAAACCTTCTGACTGACGCTGTCTGAGATCACAAGCATTTCTGGCCTTCTGCTGCTGCGTCTGCTTCATTTCCTTGCCAATCTCTTTTGTGTCTTTTCTGCGACTGTACCTTCGGGAACGCTCTTCTCTCTCTGTCTCTTTTGTTCCATCTCTCTCTCGCTCTCTCTCTCTCTCTCTCGCTCTGCTTCTGTTTCTCTCTCTCTCTCTCTCTCTCACTCTCTTCAGTTTCTCTCTCGGTAGTGTGATATTGTTTAAATGTCTTGAGCAAAACCCCAACTAAGGTCTCGTCGAGCGGATCGCGCTGGAGAGCTCGCCAAAGCTCCCACTTCTGCCTCTCAAGACTCCGTTGGTGCATTACTAGTTCGAGCAGTTTCTAGCTGAAACAACCCAAAGCAGGCGTGCATTGCCGAGCGTTCCGTATGCAAGCAAGGTGCGAAAGCCTGTGGAGGATTGTCTGTCAAACATTTGCTTCGCAAATGTCTTGAAGTCTGCCAGAAGCATGCTCATGGCATCCTCTGAGCGGGTCCTGGTAAAGGGCTGGTCCTGAGATGCGTGCCTGGGCGACAGGTCCGAGGGGTCATGCGGGATACCCGGCGGCTTCTTCCGCGCGATGCATCCCGTGAGGCACCCAGCGCCACACCCAGCAGGAAGCCAACCGAGTAGTGAGGCGCCTCGGCGCCGGAAGGAGCGATGGTCCGTCTGCAGGTGGTCCAAAAGCTTGATCAAAGTGTTGCGCTCCTTCTCTGAGAAAAGCAGCACTCGAATCTCCTCGCCCTTGCCCCCCGACAGGTCAGCCTCCAGGAACGCCAGGCCAAAGCCCACGCCATCACGCGGCTCGTGACGCATTGAGCCCACTGCGCGGGAAAAGTTCAGGGATTCATCCTCACAGTCCAAGTCGAGTGTGTGCCGGAATCCACGCTCCAAAGTGAGCTTGCCATCAAGGGGGTCAGTAAAGTCGGGATCCAGCACCCCGCATGTCAGCCCCTCACCTCGCAGCAAGGATAGTGGCCGCATGGAAACTTGCAGACGTGTCTCGAACAGGTGGGATTATCAGAGTTCTTGCCCAGAAAACTCAAGCAGGCTCCGACTTTGTAACATCCATTTAAAAGCTTAACATGTGGTAGGGCCTGCCCGTTTAGGCAGTCAGGCCACGTGAAAGCTGCTCGTACAGTTCAATCTCTTGATCGTCTGGTTGTTCAGGAGGAGGTTTTTGGCGCGCCATGGCCGGAACATGCCTCCCTCTCCGAAATGCTGCCTCATGCCTCACGGAGGCTGCTTGATAAAACTATTGCCAAATGGACTACGGAGTCGCCGCTTTGTAGACTGCGTTTGTTCAATGTACAGGGATCTTCTCACATGTAGGTGAGACATGGTCAAAATGACATTTAACAAACACATGCATGTCGTTGTTCGTGCTGTCTCCCAATTGCCTTCCAGGTTTTCGCACTTTGCACGGGTAGCATGTGAGGGTATCGTCTATTCTTCTGAGTGATTATCCTGCTCTGTTCTATGGAGATTGAAGGGGCACATGATGCTCTTAAGACAGTCTCATATGCAGAATACATATTATTATATTATGCTCATGTGTGAATGAATAAAGAGAAATATATATATATATGGTATACAAGCACACGCGCTGCTAATATGTGCCTACTGCTCAACTGCGAGCCTTGGCTGACAAAGCCACATGCACGGACAACTCCAGACTACCATCACCGGGCAAGCGTAGCATGTGATTTCTTGCCGGTGCCTCCCTGTCGCTCCGGTGGCGTCTGCCTCCAATTGCTCTTGCAAGTTTTGTCAAGCATGTCGATGTTGCGAATCCTGAGTCTTTCCGAATGCTTAGCTTTTGGCCAGCCACAGAAGGACCGGCAAGGCCTCAGCAGGCTGACTGCAGGAGTGCAAGTTGGCCCCGAACCAACCGCACCCAACGAAACTTGAGACTCGCACGTCTGCCATCCTGGACGGCAGCTCTTCAGCATGGCCTGCGCTCTTCCCACCACCATCTTCCAAGCGCTGAGTGTAAGCTATTCTGCTCTGCTTTCCGCCTGCACATAGTCGAGCCAAGGATCTCAGCGCTGCCTGGCAAAGGATAACAAGGCCCGAAATGCAAAGTGAAGGCCACCTGTCTTGAAATGCGTATGCTCAACACATGCTCAACATCTGGTATATGTTAGAACCTGTTCACATGCTAGCTGTGCCTTCACATACCCATGCTGTCCGCTGCAGCCTGTGCATCATCTGGTGATGCGTCCAGCGAGAGGGCAGCCACGCACAGCAGGGAGCGAGCAGCCTCTCTGCCGCCACCGTTTGCAAAGACCCACATCTCGGCATGCCAAAGCAATTGAAAACCCTTTTTCCCCCTTGGCGACAGGGAACGCCTTCGCGCTTCTCCTTCAACTAACTCAGTTGCCCAAAGGACCTGTTTATAAAAGGTTAACCTTTTGGGACCTCTGCTAAAATAGACCAAAAAGGGAAAACCAAAAGGTCAAAAGGTCGGCTTTGAACAACTGAGCTAAGCATGAGGTTCTAACAATTTGGTGGGTGCATCCGTTACTGATCAATTCCGCCTGCCTGCAAAACGTCTGGCGATTTTCTGAGGCAGGCAAAATCCTGCAGCAAACCCCTCACCCCGCTGCCTGTGCCAGCGTTGACCTGGGCATTGCAGATCAAGCGGCTTGAAGGCTTGTGGCGAGAAATGAACAAACAGCGTGGGAACCTGCTCAAGTTCTTCGAGACTCCTGCTTCTGCATCCAAGCGGCGGGTCGGCCCTCCCCAAGCGCAGGGCCTGGCATGGCCCACTACCATTGCTACCGCAATGGGTTTCACCACACGAACGCATTTCCCAAATCGGGGAACCCCCTTACGTTAATGGCGAGGGATGGAAACATGTACCCATCCTTGCGGGAAAAGCATGTCCAGCCTTGCCATTTGGAGGGTGAAACCAGTGACCATTGCTATTCCGATCCACCTCGTAATGCCTTGATTGTCTTCTTGTGCCTCTGGGTGACTTGGGTTGACTTGGGTTTGACTTGGGTTGACTTGGATTTGGTGTGACTGGCTCGAATGCTCGAAAAGGGCGCCTTCTCGGAGGTGAGCAGCTGCTGCCGCACGTCTCTCCAGAGCGCCTCACATCTCGACCGGCTCAGCTTCTCTTCCCAAGACTTCACACCCTTCATGGCGGAAAGCTACATCGCTGAAGTGACGTGGCTCCCATCACCCACAGGCGTCCCTTTACATCCCCAGAGTCAAACTCGCAAAGCTCTGGCAAGCAGAGACAGGTTAGCAGATATGGACGCTTGCCGCAGTGAGCCTCTAATAATGAAGCTCCAAGGCCAACGCCCCGGCCAGGGCACGTTGAGCTGACGCAGGCCATAGCCAAAGCCTCAAATGGCTATGAATGAAGGAAGGCTTGGAGTCACGTGAAACAAGACACAGAAGGATGCGTCGCGCACAGCCACGCCTACTCACACCTTCTGTCAGTATGCGGTGGCGATAGCACACAGAAGTCACCATGCGGCAATCGCTTGTTGCACTTTGAAACTGAGCGCGGCAAGCGGCAACGCAGTCAATGCCGCACACACCGAAAAGGAGCATCATGCAAGGCAAGGCAAGGCCCCAGCAAGTGACCATCACCAGCTACATCTTCTGACCTGATAGGCGTTGGCTGATGTTGGCTGCAAGCAAGCACACTCTTGTCTCCTGGCTTCTCACAGCCACAAGCCGATATGTCAGACTCTAGCCCCTTGTCAAAGAGATGCTAGGCCGCGGACTGTGCCAACAGGGGGCGCAGCCGCCTGCGAAGCCTGTACAGCTTTCGGAGCCCCGTCATGGCCCCGCCCTCATCAAACTACCAACTCGGCATGGTGTCGAAGGTCTTCGCGCTTCTTTTTCGCTCGAACGTTTTCACACAGCACACATTTCAAAAGTACTTCATTGCCATAAATGTTGTCACGCGTTGGAAGTAGGTGTCGAAAGGTCCTCCAGGGTCTGGGCCCCAAAGATACTCCAGCTGAGGGTAGCAGTGAACCATGCCATCTTCCACAGCAACATCCAGCTCGACGCCCTGCTTCGTCATGCTGCTCGCAAGCTTCTCGATCTGAGACCGGAATACCTCACAGCCCCCGTAGTCCAGCAGGGTCCGGGGAAAGCAGGGCGGCCAACTTCTGCAACGCCCTGGCGAGACTCGGGCGTCTCGCAGCGGAACGCCTTTGGCGTAAATTCCGGCAATGACCTCTGCTTGCTTCGCGGGGATGTAATCAACCTCCGCATACTTCTGCCATGACTCGCCACTTGTGTCGGAAAGGTCCACCCACGGTGAGAGAAGAATGAGCCCCTCCGGGAGTGGCAAAGGGTCTTCATCATCTGAGTCTTCTGAAAGCTCTGCAAGCTCCTTCGTGACTGAGAGCACGAGGTTTCCGCCAGCACTATCGCCCCCTAGGAAAATGGCATCTGTCAAGCCGCGCTCCAAAAGCCCCCGGTAGACATCAAGGATGTCATTGCGCGGCACTGGGAAGGGGTGGCTGGGAGGCTTGCGGAAATCTACGCAAAAGGCAGGGACGCCTGTGTGCATCACGATCTTGGCCAGGAAGAAGCGGTGCGTGGCTGGGGAGCAAAGGACGAAGCCCCCACCATGCGCCCAGACCAGGACTTTAGTTGCATGCATGTGCAGCTCATGATGATCAGGCAAGATCCATTCGCCCTGGATGTCGGCAATTGTGTCGTTGACAACGCGCACACCAGCTGGCATCGACAGGGATGACACCGTCCGAAGGATAGACTCTGCCAGCGGCTTCAGAAAGGATTGCACCGCTGCCTCAGAGTTCAGCAATGACAGCGGAACTCGCCTCACCGTCTCACGAACCACCGCAATGGCCCGCTTGAATCGAGAAGGCCACATGCGGCCAATCAAATCCCGTTCGTCCGCCTTCCAAAAGGGGGACTCCTTGCGCTTGCCTTGCCACCAGTCTGCTGCAAAGAGAACCATGTCGTTTGCAAAGACGGTGGTTTTCCGCTGACCTTTCTTCGCGGCCTTCTTCGCCGCATCTTGCATTCGGGTGGCTGCGATGACCATCTGCGTCTTCAACGGGCTCTTCTCAAGGGATTCTTCGAATGCCGCAAGATCAGCCCAAAACTCATCCTCCAGCCGAATGGCAGCAGAGGACATCCGCAGTGCCATTTGCACAGCTTCAACTTCCAAATCACGCTCGAAGTAGTCCAAGCAGTTCTGCCAGCACAGCGAAATGTCTTCAAAGAAAAGCTCTGGGTCCACGAGGCCCTCAGCATCATCATACAATGCAGAATCCAAGCGCTTCCGAATGGTGTGCAGGTCAACCGGGTTCTGCACTATGTCAGGGTAGTCATCCAAACCAAGCTTTTGCCAGTCCACTGGCACCAAAAAAGGTGCTGCCTGTGGCTCCAGCGACAGCTTGCTCAAGAGATCTCCCAGCTGTCTGCGACACCATTTGTGGATCAACATGTCCTGATTCACGATCTTCTCCGGACTGCCATCGGATTCATCTGAGTCATCGGATTCGGAATCAAATTCCTCCAGGCTCAGCATGTCGCTGGCATCGCTGGCCTCGAGCACCTCGCCCGGAAGGCCCCTGCCCATGCCAGATTCGAGGCCCTAGGCGCATGGCAAGGAGCCAGCGCCCAGGCAAGATGCCAACAGGGCCATGTTTGCGGCTGCGGGCGCGCAGAATTTGGCATGCACACATCATGACTTATGACGCAACTAATCTCAGACATGTCAAATCATCCTGCCTCGCCACAACATGGCAATGGTTTGCCCCCGTTTTTTGGGCTCACCCTCTTGATCTTCCCTCTTGGAGCTCCAAGCGCTTACTACAGCTGCAACACGTCTTGCCACACCTGCGTAGAGAGATACACCACCTTCAACCTCCCCTGGCTGCTGTGTGCCAGCCAACTTGTCCCGCCCACACGCGCATGCTGACACTCATGGCAGGTTTTGAGAAGCTGAGGCTTGCCCAGTGCCCCGCCACAGAGTTCCTAGGAGCCCCAGCTTCACCAAAGGCCGATCTCGTTGATCTGGAAGCCACTGTCGAAGGTCGAAAGGCTGCAACCTGGGCCGATTTGTCATGTCTTTAAGCTCCCCTTCCCGCAATTCAGTCATTTAGGAGCTGAAGAGCCTTGCAAGGCGCATGCAATCGGATGTTTGTCCTGGGGCTTGCAAAAAGAATTGAAGGGCCTATGGCTCAACTAGCAGCCTGAGACGTCGGCGGCAAGTTCTCCAAGGGTCTCTTCTCCTGGCAAGTCAAATGCAGGACATGGCAGTTATGCTTATCTTCCTGGCGCTGAGCTGCAGGTGCTTCATTTTCCTGGCGCTGAGCTGCAGGTGCTTCATTTTCCCCCCGCAGAAACAGGGTGCGGAATCCGTGCCCTCAAAGCTCCACGTCCTCCATGCCTGGCACCTCCTGTGACTGTGGCTCCTCATGGGCCAACGTCCCATCCTTCTCTTCGCCCACTTCCGCAGATGCCACGGCCTCCTGCAGCGCCAGATGCCAACGGCCCAGGTCCGCACCCTCCGCGCCCTCGCTGGCGGCGGCCAGGGCGGTCACGGCGCTGAGGCCCCCGGCCTCCACCACCGCCAGCGCCCCGAAGTCATGGGCCGCCAGCGTGGCCAGCGCGGCCGCGCACCGCTCGGCGAGGTCCATGTGGGATCCTCACGTTAAAGGGATTGGAACCGAACACGAAGCAATGCTCGTATTTACTCTTGGGTCAGTGGTGTCATGGCGCAACTATCTTAAATCTTGTTTTCTGGTGGCCGCGGCCAAACCTGGAAAGATGGGTTAAGAGAAAAACAGAGAGTGCCCAAGGCTCCATGCTTTGCCAAGGAGGCCACCAAAGCCTCGGGCGCATGTTGCTGCACGGCAGACTCTGCCACCAGGTCTCCTCCTTGGGCCAGCAGTGACTGCAGGACGCTTGCACACCACTTGTGCACGTCCACGTGGGCCTGCTCTTGCTTCAGAGTGGCCAAAATAACCTCGAGGCCATTGTCGGCCGCGATCTCTGTCGCTCCCAGCTCGCCATTAGATTCAGAAATTGCCCACAAAGCCCGCAAGCAGGCTTGCTGCAGTGATGCATCCGCAGCCAGGGCGAAGCCTCCTCCATCCGGTGATTCAGGCGCCGTGTCCAAAGTCTGAGACAAAGTGGACAAAACAGATCCCAGCACTCCGGTCCGGAAGGCTTCATCTGCTGCAGCATCCCCTCCGTCCATTACAAGGCATGCAACCAGGGACAAGGCGCTTTCTAAGAGTGAAGGTGAGCCCTTGTGAAGTTGCAAGGCGCTGGCCAGCAAGGACATGGCATCTTGCTCCAGGATGCGCATGGTCAACACCACGCTGTCTGTTTCCGTCTCCTCTCCCAGCTCCAAGGCACAAACCAAAGCAGAGAAGCACCAGCGCTGGACTTCCACGGCGGGAAGGTGGGCTCGTGCCGCTGCCAGCAGCGCTGCCGCAGCGCTCTCCGGGTCCACCACGGCGCAGCGCCGGAAGAGCTCCTCCAGGGCCGCCGCCCCCCAGCGCTGAACTTCGCGATTCTCCAAGTTCTGCTGCAAGGCGTCGACCACGTGCCGCGACACGGCGCCCGACGCCAGGGCCGGCGCCGGGGTTTTTTGGATGACCTTCAGCAGCATGATCAGCCCGTCCCGAGGCGCTTTGGCAACTCGATCCAGGGTTTGTTCCAGATCGGTCATGGAGCCACTTCGTCGTCGACACTTGCTGCGCAAATGCAGCAGCTGTCGTCCAACGACGCTGCGGCAACCATCGATCCACCACGGCTAGTACATTGCAAACTGCAGTGCCAACACAATATCTACAAGGCTTTGGCTGACTTCCATCGGGGTTATCATTGATGACACTGGCCAATGACTCTTTGAAAAAGCCTCACACTGCTAAAGCCATGCACACTGCGGCTGTTTCACCGCATCCGTCTTGAACCACCGGCTACGGGCCAGCTTGGACATGCAGGGCACCACTTGGGGCAATAGCGCTCCATCACACGCGTCCTTGGCCAAGACCGAAGCTGACTGCCAGAGTGATGAGGCGTCTGTCAACAAGGCCTGCCAGGCCTCGACCGTGTTGCATGGCATGTCTTGATTTGGCCTCAACCTGACACCTGCCTGGTCCATGCAAACCACTAAGCATGGAGACGGCATGAAATAGCAATGACTCCTAGACGAGCCCTCCACCCATCGTCGCAGGAACCAACTTTGAAGCTCCTCGCAGATCTCCCCAAGACGGGAGTGCTTTGGCATTGCTGCCCACCCCTAATCAAAGTGCGCATCTCTTGTTGCAGGCAGTGTCCACTTTCAACCGTGACGGATTTTGGGCATTGCCCAGGGTCGTTAACAGCCAGCAGGCATGGTCTTCAGCCGCTGGTTAGCCCTCTTCTGCGGCGGAGATTGCGCTCATGCTTTGCATCAGCTGCCAATATCTGGCCTGGAAGCCCTCGCTGCGCTTAGCTGCTGGATGCACGCTGAGCTTTTCCAGGACAGGGATCAGGCCCACCTTGTACATCAGCTCACTGTTTGTGGACAAGCCCGAGAGCATGTTCAACAACAGCAGCGACTGGTATATGCATTCCTTGGGCTTTTCGACGTCCTCGTCACCCAAACATTCAATCAAATGCGGGATGGCAAGGGTGCCCACGTGGTGCTTCTGGTCATTGCGACTCGCGCACAATTGTTTCAAAGCGAAAATGGTCTTGCTCGACAAAATGGTGCCAAATTCCACCGTGGTAAAAATGTACAGCAGGCACTTCACGGTGTGGGGGTATATGTCCTTGGTGCCAAACAGAAGCCGCCGTATTGGCGCAAGGTGGCCCAACTTTTTGTGGCCAGTACTGCAGACAAGGTGCAATGAACTGCTCTCGAAAGCGGTCGTCGTTGCAGAATTGGCCAATGACAATGCAGGTCTGGGTCAGGAGCCTTTCCTTGGCAATGCTGCCCAGGGCTGCACTCTGTATGCCTTGGCCCTTCTTGGCGGAGGGTCTCACTTGCGAGTAGGAAGAGGTGAGTATGTCATAGAGCAAGGGAATGAGACCTGCGCTGGCAATGACACTCCGGTTGTGTGGCTCTTTGGTCAGGTTGACCAAAAGCATCATCGTGTAGTAGCCCAGGTCGTCATCCTGTCGTGGCTGCCCTATGGGCCCAAGCTCAAAGGCCCGAACACACTTGAAGTTGGGACCAAAGCAGTAAAACGTATTCATAATAAACACAGGGTGTGGTGACTTTTCATTCCGGACCTCATGGGTACATCACACATGCCGCATTTGCCATGCCTGTCCTTTGCCTGCAAATTGCGCACTGCCGTCTTGGCCATCCCTTGCCCCATGAGCACCATTTTCACAGCCTGATTGCCACTGCTCAGATTCACCAGCGCGGCTGACGCGTAGACGGCCAGAAAGACACCCCCAGAATTGAGCAAGGACAGCATGGCTGGGACAACGATCAAGTTAGCGGCCGGGTCTTCATCTTTTGCTTTTGTATCTGTTGCCGCCTTCATCTCCATAAAGATCCGGCAGATGTAAGCTTTCAAGTTGGCCCCACATCCCGCTTCCAGTAGATTTGCCAAGCAGCGAAAGAAGTCGGCATCACGACCCTTTCCAATTTGCTTCTTGAGAAAATCTGTACTTAGGATGGCGAGCATGACGCGGTCATTAAAGCTCCACTGGCTCAGGTTCTTGTCCTTCATCTGCTGCGTGAGGCTCACTTCGTGGAAGGGTTTTGTCATATCCAGGGGCCGCAAATGCAGCAAAAACTGAAATGCCGCATAAGCCTTCTTATAGCTCTCCTCAGTGAGCGCCGACAGTCCTGGCTAAGACGGTAAGAGGGAGCTAGGATAACAAACAACAACTGCAAAAGAGGGAAAAAACGCTTGGAAACACAGACTCAAAAGAGTACAACGTCTGACTCAAAAAAACAACAACATGTTTTCGGACACTGCAATCCAAGGCCTGCTGGGATTTGTAGAGCCAATAAAAAACACTCCATGGGTCATGGGGTCATTTGCTGGGGTCACATCAGCACCGCATGCACATGAATGCATTGAACAACATGCTTCACATGCATCCTGTCCTTCAATCATGAGCTCCAGATTTAGCCTTGCCCCCAGCAAGCCACCGTCAATCGCCCAGGCAAAGTATCGAGCCACTCTGGCGTGCCAGTGATGCTGGATTCTCAGCTTGCTGTCCTCATCAAGCGCTTCAGACTGGCTCCCGCTCAAGGGCAGGCCCTCACCGCGGGCCATCATCTCCTGGAAATACTCCTGAAAGTTATCAATACATTCGAGCTCGGCCCACTGGTCCTCTGGACTCGCATCTTCAAATATTTCTATGGCGGACAATTCGAGGATGGCGGGGTCGTAACCTTCAACTTTGTCATCGCAGAAAAGCTTCCACACGCTTTTCACAAACCTTGCAGCTTCCACTTCCCAAATGGTCTTGAGCTTCAGGTGTGTTGACACCCACTCAACTCCATCCTCATCAAGCCTTAGGGAATCCAACTTGGCCTGAACCACATCACGGTAGACTGACACATTGGGGGAATCCGTACATATTGAATCTGCAATCAAATACGCTTCTAGAAGGAGAGCTGTCTCCTTTTGCTGCCACTGCTCCTCAGGGCATCGCAGAATCACCGCCATGTCTTGAGCACTGCTGCATGTTGGTGGGATGTACTGACGCCGCATGACCAAGCACAATATGGTGGCACTTCTCGTCCGGATGATCAACTCCCACTGGTGCCATTGAGCTAGGTCTGCAGCAAGGTTCATCCTTTTGTCTCGAAGGGCATTCCGGATGACATAAAACTGCTTCTCTGCGGAGCACAGCTGAGTCTTGTACTCCCCAGCCACCCAGCGTATGTTGCCTCTATTGATCCGATTCAGCTGCTCTAAGCTGAACTCCGCATGCACGTCTATCACAATGGAGACCCCGTCCTCATCCACGTACTCACCTGCTTCGGTGTTGTGGCCAGAGGCCTGGTCATCAAAGCGATCAGGCACCATGAAGCGATATCCCTGGAACTTTGTCCAGCGATAGCCTTTGTAGGGAAGCACGTAGTTGTCAAAGCTGGACTGCTTGGTGATTGGGTGGATGCTCAGTGGAAATACCACTACCCGACCCAGCCGCCACATATGGTCTGTCTGCCAGTTGCAGCGCAGGTGGCGCAAAAATAGGCTCCGGTGCTCAGCTTTAATGAACAGCCGGTCTGACTGCCAACCTGGAAGCTCCTCTGCCAGCGTAAGCAAGCAGTGCTGGTCTGAGCTCTCGTCCTGAACAATTGCGGCGATGCTGCTGTAGTAAACATCCGCTCCATCATGAAGAGGTCCATTCAGATCTTGCCGCAAGAAGAACAACGAATGTTTGCCTACGCAAACAAAGCATTTGCGCCGCAAATCACCACAGGTCAGCTGAACCAGCTCGAAGTAGCGGCAGTCCCCGCCTGTTTTCATGCTGATGGCAGCCAACACTTGCCTGTCACTCGCCATGGCGCCAGGCAACTAAAGGGCCCGACAGGCATGCACCCCTGGCTTATCCTTTGCAAGCCTCGCAGCACTTTGGCCGCGACCCGGCATCTAAAACAAATTGCCTGCCCTTGGGTCCACAATAGGCCGTCCAAACAAGTCTGGCACAAGCTGAGCTGATGTGACTTGTCATGACCTCAAGCAACCTGAGGTGCCCGATTGGCCAATGAGCTTTGCATGACGGTGTCCTGACTCTTGACGGGCCTTGGGAAAGCTCAGCCAAGTTCAGTGGTATGTTGTGATTTGGCAGGACCAAAAGCCCCAGAGATAGCAAAGCGCGGCCAGGGCACTCTGCCGCAAGCAGAGCGGCACATCCCCAAAGGCCTCGATGTCCAAAAGCCTCGGCAACTCGCCAAGCATTTTGCCGAGGCACAGTTCCCCTCTGACGCCCTGGGCTCACTGCCACAGTGTCAACGCCCCACCACGCTGCATGCGCCTGGAGCTCCTGAAATTCCACGCCCAAACCCAAGCTCCGACTGCACCGGCCTCCGAGCCGAGCTTCGGAGCCGAGGGAACGGGGGCTGAAGGCCTGTCAAGCTTGACGAAAAGAGGCCACACCAAAGGAGCACACGGGCGCACGGATAGCACAGATCTTCTCGGTCCAAGGCCTGACTCAGAGCACCGCCCCAACTTATTACCCATGGCCTCGCCTCCATGAAAGGCACGCTCCAGGACTCCGAGCCTGAGGGTGAAACAGCACGGGGGAAAACTCGCAATGAACAGTGGCCACCTTACATCTTCGTGACAAACGTTGCAAACAAGGAGCGACCGTGTTGAACCATGCAAAACAATTTCCGCCTCTGCTCATTGTGGCATGACACTTCCCGTTCGTTTGCTTTTCGCCTCGCAAATCCTGAGCCACTAGCCTGCATCAAGGTCATCCTTAGAACGCGCGCCGAGAGATGGTTCGTGATGCTTCGTGAGCTGGTGTCTTTGTGCATGGTTGCACTGCACTGGCGTGAGTCAGCTAGAAACAAATACGAAACAGGTCAGGTAAAACGCATTGCCTTCACGTCACTCTCTGAGTATCATGCCATCCTCACCTGCAAATCGAGAGGCAGGCCTGGCCAGCAAAGAACCACCCCTTGCAGACTCACAGTGTCCTTGTACTTCCTGGAGCAATAGAGTTGCTCAATTTTGTTGCGCAGCGCCTTCTGAATCGCGGCCTTGTGGCCTGCGCAGCGCAAGCGACGAGCTTGACCTGCGCCACAAGCAGCGCCACAATCAACGAGCCATGAGCAATATGGAGCCATGTGGAGGCAAATCATCTCAACCGCCCTTTTTGTCGATCGCTTGGTCACCGTCTGAGCTGCGCCATGGCCATGCGCCAAACGCCTGCGCGATTGTGAGGACACCAGCGGATAAACAATTTGGCCACCGTGCTGTTTTCGGATTTGGGCCCTGACAGCACATTAGCTAGCCAATAGTGGGCAGACTCTGTGCCCCAAAAAGGCAAGGCCAGTCCAAGCAAATGACAAGTGGAGCGCCTTGTGGACGTGGTTCTTCGCATGGCACTGCTGCCTGACACATGTAAAACTTGGCCTCTGCTTGCCTATCCCCCTGTCTTCGCAAAAGTGCCTTGACTGAGTCACATAGGCAAGCTAAAGCTGTGTTCGGCTCCACTTGAGTAATCACAAATGCAGCTACAGGGCCTTCATGGATTCTCTCCAATGAATTCTCCGAACGTCCCGCTGGCAATTCTGAGCTGTCCCTTGCAAAGCTGAGACGAACCTCTGCGAGGTATCGGCTCTGGAAGCTTCCGGCCGGGACCCTTGGCTTGTCACGAGTGTTGGCCAACTGGCGCTTGCTCCAAAGCCCCTCCAGCATCAAAGCAGGACTTTTCAGGAGTCATGTGGAGGATGACTTGAGTGTGACCCATTTTTGGAAGCGTTCATGACCGCACTGACCCTCCACTGCTTCCATGGCTAAGGAACCCCGAACAGGTAGGCATATCCTTTTCTGGATGCAGCTGAGGCTCGCAGCAGGAACCTTCAGTGTCTTTTCCTGTCCCACCCTGGTAGCAGCACTGATGGCCTTGGAGAGAGTTTATCAAAGCCCGTTGCAGGTCTCAGCCCCACAACCTTCTGGGAACATGTCTCTGAAAATTGGCGCAGCCCCTTCTCCATTTGCAGCCACGGTTCCGCCACATTGAGACGGCTCATGACTTCGCTGGCGCTCTCCTCCTCTTCCTTTCCAACGTGCTCGAACCGAGAACGCTCAGCCGGCATGGGACCCGCAACATTTGCCTCTGGATCGTGGGTTTGCCATGAGGCCCTGCCAACCGCCAAGAAATACAACGACGGCCGAACAAAGAAGTCTTTTGAAAGCGTTAAAAAAACCATCGATCAAAGTCGCGAGACCCAGCAAGGATGTAGAAAGCTATTCGGCATATGACTTCAGCCCCTCTTGCAGTCCTCACGCTGCCGGCAGGGGCATATGCGACGTGCAACAGTTGAGGGGAACTGCCCCATGCCGCCGGTACAGCGAGAGCCGCCAGCTGCACCCTGCCAGAAGCAGACCTTGGCATCACATGCTGGTGAGATTGGGCCGCGCGCATTGCTGCTTGGGTTTTGCTTTTTCTTTAGGACCTTGGGTGCAGGTGGCTCAGGGCCCTCCTTGCGCTGGACAACAAATGGTCGAGCCATTATTTGAGCTGTGGGGGTGCCTGTAAAAAGGGGGGCAAAGGTTGTGCTGCTTAGCTTCGCCAGGGGCTGGCCCGTCTTCCGTGCAGACAGAGGGGTTGTGCTGCCAACCTCCAGGGGCAGCCGCTAGGCATAGCAGTCCTGAAGGGGCATCGAACATGCTCAGCAAATAGGGGGAAAAAAACGCGTCGTTCCGTCGCTCCCTGCGAGGAATATATTGCCTGAGAACACCTTCACAAAAGACCAAGGGTTCTGGCGCTCATGGTTAAGCTGAACTGACTCAGCGCATTTTGTTTTGCCAAAAGCAGAACTTCCACGCAGAAAGCCCCACACAACTTTCCCGAGCGTGAGAAATCAAGGCCCTTCCTTCTGCAGATCCTGCAGCAGCTTCCCACTCAGACTGCGTTGTAGGCCACATCCCTTCCTCGCACCTGGGCGCAATGCCAGCTTAGGCTGGATTGGAGCTGCGATGCGCATGGCATGAACTGAATCAACGGCTGAGGCAGAGGCTCGGAGTCGATGGCTGCACAAACCGTGCTGCAGTCTGCATCTCGGGCTCCCACCACCTCAGTGCGCCAGGACTGGGACTCATAGCTGTGCATCCCGCGCTTCCTCACCTCTCACTGCAACCCGCCTCTTGTACACACAAAAGCGTTGCTGCCAGGGCCAGATATTTCAGTATGTCGGACCTTCCCTGTGCTAAGCACGTGCAGCGCAAGTCACCCACTTCACAGTGGACTCTTCCGCAGCTTCGCCCAGCACCAGGCAAGCCAGGAAAACTGCCCGCTCCATGGCTCTTGAATACCTCAAAACATGAGGTGGTAGCGTATGTACATGTCTATTGGTTTATGTAGACATCCATAGTACATATCAAAATTATATATATATATATATACGTGACTCTCCCACTCCCTATCCCTCTCTTCAAACTCCAGGAGGGCAGAGCTACATCTCACCCTGTTGAAGGCATCCCTGCTTCGAAAGCTTACAATCTCGCTGTCGCTTGGCTTGAACATCAAGCAGACACCTTGAGAGAAAAGCCTGCGAAGTGGGATTCCGTAACTTGAACGCCTTTGATGCGGCGAAGCCAGAGAGTCAAACAAACAAACCCCAAAATTCTTCTCGCGCCTTAGAAGGTGCTGCTGCGAATCATCAAGAACTCTGTGCGCCCTTGGCGTTTCCGCTGGATCATTGTGAGCACGCCTGACTTGTGCCCTCGGGTGTCACTGCAAGCTCGGTAGCGCGCTCCGGAAAGGGTCGCTCCTGAAGCCTCGGGCGCTGCCAAAGTGTCCGAGCCACTTTGGCAAAGGCAACCGAGTCAGTGGTCTGTAGATGTCTTTACCCCCCCCCCCCAAAAAAAAAAAAAAGAAAAGAAGAAAAAGCAGGTGCTGCATGGCAAGAAAAACACCGTTGGCATGCTTGACAAGAATCACCCGCTAAAGCTCCTTCGATCAGGCATGTTTTTTTCAGTCCTGCCGGATACTTGAAAACAGCTGGAGCCGAAAAAACAAGCAGATCCATAGGATGCCGTTGAGGCATCCATCGCTATTACAGTAGGCTGAGCGAGTTGCTCAGCATAGTTTCAAATGAAGCATGCTCTTGGCCAATGCCGCCTGGGAGCAACTAATTAGCTTGCAAGTGGCTTGCTGATACCCCAGTGGCCTCCCAAATCACAGTCGCCCGTGGCACCGACTGTCGAACCGGACACGCCCCCGCTTTACATGGCCAAGGGCATGAGCTTCCAGGTTCCGGAGCTCAGATCAAAGCGATGCATGCTGACTCGAGCTGCCTCAATTTCTGAGGCTTCACGGCTCAATATGTACAGTCTGTCCTGGCATGCCGTGCAAGCCAAGCAGCTCAGGCAGGGATCTGGAGAAGGGAAAGGCGGCAACACAGTCCAAAAAGCAAGGGCTGGGTCAAAGCATTCAATCACGAAATCCTTGCCCCCACAAACATACAGCTTTCCTTGAGAAGCAGTGGAGACGTGGAAAGCACGCTCATGCAGCATTGGGGGTATCTGTTCCCAACGCCGCTTGCACGGCTGGAAGGTTTCGGCCGTTGCCAGCTGACCCTCGCCTCCAGCCTTGTCTGGAGACCGGCCGCCGCAAACGTAGAGCCGGCCGTTCAGGGCCACACAGGTGTGATGATATCGCCGCGTTGACATTCGCGGCAGCTGAGCCCATTGGTGAGTGCCAAATGGGTCAAAGCATTCCACGGAGCCATGGACGTTTTCTTCGCCCAGGTCCTGCGCGAACTCATCGCTCAAGCCACCGCACACATAGAGCTTCCCCCCAAGGATAGTCGCGGAGTGGCCCTCTCTTTTCTTGAGCATCGGCGGCAATGCTTCCCACTTCGCCTCTGCCTTGCAAAAGGCCGCAGCTGCATCAGTCCTGCGCCTGAGTGTGCCTCCAAAGCCACCACCACATCGGAACATGGTGTCCCGATATTGTGCTGTTGCGGACTGGCACAAGATGCTGTCCCTCGGGGTGTTCTGCTGTTTTAGCGTCAGCGTTCCCGGGACGGGGTGCCACTCCACCATCTCATTCTGCGCCAGGGAGAGGTAGACTCCCGGAAGCAACGCTGGGTTGGACTTCAACCCCGCTGCCACTGGCTTGCAGCTGTGGAACAGCTCCCGCACCAAGGCATCCCCGCCAAACTCTGCGCAGGTGGTGAGGATGTGTTCATTCTGCATCATCTTTGGAAAGCCGACAGTGCTGGCCGAAGTTGGGTGCATACGGAGCATGGCCGCGAAGCGGACCTTGTGCAGCTCAACCAAGAATCGCTCCTGCGGCACCTGCTGGGTGTCGTGGAGGCACTTGCACAGCGCCGCCAGGCCGGCCTGCACATCGAAGAGGTCGGACATTCCAAAGTCCTTTTCAGACTTTCGGGATTCTGCGGGGTCTGCCATGAGCCCATATGCCCTTCACAAGCGAAACGTGCCGAGTCGTCATGCTGACCATCCAACCCTTCCGCTAACCCATGCTCAAACACAAAAGTTCCCACGCACTTTGCACGTCTACGGATTACGGATGGCACGCAGGTAGGAATCTAAGGCTCTTCTCGAAATCTCAGCCCTGCAGCATCCTCCGCACCCTCACTATGGACTCTAGGCTCCCCACGCCGCCTGCCGCTCCAGCTTCTCCTCATTGCTGCCAACTGCCCCCCCCCCCCACTGAAAGCGGCCGAAACAGAAGTGGCTGAACAAAGCAAAGATGGCCGCACTGCTCCTTCTCCTCAACCCAACGCCTTGGATGGTGACAATCCCTCCCTTGAAAGCGGCGCTCTCATCCTGCTTGCTCACACGAAGAAGTATGTCACTCGCGCTTCCCTCTATGGGTGGGCGGAAAGCTGTGCTATGTGGTCGCTTGGCTTCCTTCATTCTGACCGCTCAATCCAGCACTATGCAAAATGACACTTCGCTTTTGTCCCACAACTTGAAAGCTGGGGTTTGCACTCCTTCTCTTCCGCATGCTGTTGCCGAAGAGCCTGCAAGTTGGAACCGCTAACCGCTTCATGCCCACGCTGGTCCAAGTCGGTGTGCGAAGGGTGCCACCCAAATATGATGCGCTAGGTGGCATTTTCTTACAACCAGCCTGGCTGGAGCACAAACAGTCACAGCATGCAAGGGCTGACATCTCCCTGTGGGGGTCATGGCGCAATGACCCTCTCTCAATTGCCATGGTCATGACAGCGCCTTCTCTCGCCGAACAAGCTCCTTGTCGGGGCTTCACTACCGACAAGCTGCCCAAGTTCTGTTGCATGCATCTCCTGCACCTTCTTTTGAAGCTTTTCATGGGACTCCTTCTCTTGAACTGCTGCCCCCTGCACACACCAAGCAAAGGAACTGTCACCGCCGCACTGTCCATTTTACATAACTTTACTAAGCCCATGCAGGTTTGTGACACTCTAGGACCGGTGCCTTCCCATAAACGCTCTTTCACCCCCCAAGCTCTGAGATGCTCTGAGCCCCCGGTCTTTCATCACCCTAGCTTCCTTTCTCCATGTCACCGCCTCGCAGCTCACCCTTCCAACATGTCTGTTGACAGCGCGGGCCGCGCAAGCCACAGCTTCCCTCCAAGATTTGTCAATTGCTACTTGCAGGCTGGACACAAACTACCTGCACAAACTCTCTCCCTCTCTGTCTCTTGTTGAAATGCCACCCTGCAGCTACAAAGCCGCTTTCAAGGCAGATGCCCACGCCTTCCGGAATTCCTCCTGACAATGCTGACAAGTGCCTTCGCAACGATTTCCATGATGGTCAGGCTTCTATTTGTCTGCAAGCCCTCGCCCACATGGTCAATGGCATAGAGAGCTTCGCAGCCAGTCGCCCAATTGCTGTGGGCCAAAGCGGAAGCCTTTTCAAGTCAGTCCTGAGCTTTCTGGAACAGGTCTTCCAAACCTTGGGCCAAAAACTGTCACTCGCTTGGAGACGGCAAGTTCAGCTGGCACACAATGGCTTGGGAGCTAAGATCGGGTCGCTTTCTTTGAGCGTTGGCCTTGTGTTCATGAAGCATGCTCTTGGAATCTACCACCCAAAATCCGACGCAAGAATCGGCGCTAGTTACATGATTGCTTCTGCGCGCTTCCGTCAAAGTGCTGTTGATCTTGGACTTTTGCAAGGAATCCCAGATTCATCAACAGGGCGCCCACCAAACTGCCATGCAGTGTGCAAAAGATACAGAGGCAGGATGAGAAACAACTGCATCGATGCAAACCGGCATATTAAAATTCTCGGACTGAGAACAGGTGCGGAGTGTTTGAAATCTGTCTATGCCGGGGAGTTGCGCCTCTTTCTTCAACTCTTGCTGTGACCTTCGCAGCAGCTCGTCCTTGGGCCAAAGCAACAGGCTTCAAGCTTGCAAACTGTCTGCCACACACACACACACCCAAACAAGGGCCCACGCCACCTCTGCGCGAAGCCGAGCCTGGCTGATGAGCACAAATACACGTGAATTGCAAACCTACTGAGACATACTGAGACTAGGAATGCAATGCGAACTGCAAGGCCCACATGGAGCAGCAGGCTACCATCCTTCGACTTCAGTCCAAAACCCATCCATGTGCACCCTATGAAGTTCCATGCACGCTTGCCTTGGCTGCCCCGACCTAAGCACAATAAAGGTGGATGCTGCCAGTCTGACATCGCGTACATCTTTTGTCCAGACTGAGGCACTAAGAGAGCGGCAGCCTCGGCAACGAAGCACTCGCTGCAGTGCCTGCTTCGGTGAGAATTTTAGGAAACGCTTAGCAATCCTTGCCACTGGGGGGAGGGCAGTTGATGTTCTCTCTCCATAAGGCGTTCGCTCTTCGCCTCTCTGTCAGGTCATTGCACAACATCGTCCAAAGCCCGCCCTTTACCGGAGTTGCCCACGAGGGCTCGGCGCTCAATGGTATCACTTTGGGCCCCGCCTTCACCAATTGGTAAATGGTGGCCTCCAAGTCCGTGCCCGCATTGACAACACGGGTGTTGCTCTCTTGCGCATGTGGAAGCAAACAAAATGATTCACCATGCACGGAAAAAGAAACCAAAACAAGCACACAAAGGCAACTCAAAGCAAACCCGAACACTCATTGCACAAAAAACACTACAAACAGCACAACTTGCAGCAGAATCCGGCTCAATTTGCAGCAGCGCCCGCAGCAAGAATCAACCCCCTTGAGTTTGAAAGCCCGGCCAGTTCGCTCGCGACAAGGCTATCAGCAGCTTCACCCATTGCCTGCCATGAGAACACATGTGTGGGCACCAAAGTAGGCTTCTCTCGCATCCCTGTACATGTCTGGAACATGTAGCTCTGCGCCACTCTTTCTTGCTTCTTTCTCCGTCGTGGAATCAAGGAGTATTGGTGCCTCTCGTCTTGAGCAACGGGTGACCCGGTCCTTCCACACAGACGCCGGAAACTCGGATGCCTTAGACTACAACCTCCATCTCCGCGGAGAGCGAGGTGGCCGCCGCAGCAATGCGATCTGCAGCTGCGTGTATCTGCACCTGCGCCAGGTCCCAGCTCTTGGCCATGATCGCCTCGTAGATGCCTGGCAGGGTCTTGGGCGCGTAGCCCGTGTAGAGGCCCGGCGCCTGCAGGCAGTGCCGAAACCACTTCCGGCCAGGTAGGCCCTTGGCAAGGAGGAAGTGGCGCTCCAGGAAGCCGAGGCGGCGGTTCACCTCAGCCACCTTGCTGGGAGGAGCAGACGCGCCCATATCCCTCAGGTGGGCAACCTGGGACATGATGTGCCCTGCTGCCTTCCTGAAGAGGAGGCTTGCAGCATCCAAACTGCTGAAGTCCAGAGGCGCGGTATGGTTCAATACCTTCTTCGCCTCTTCTATGTAGCTATCGATGGCCTCCCCCTGAGTGCTGGCATTCAGAAGCAGTAGTTGGGGAGTGGCAGAAGAGGAGCCGGCCAGGCGCAAAGCAACTAGACCCCAAACCTGCGCCATTGCAACGTGGAAGGTGAAATCTGGGTCTCCTTCCGTTGCCATCCAGCTGAAGGAGTCATAAACTGAGTGATAAACTCCGTATTGCGCTTCCTTGGGCGTGAACGCCAAGTCAAGCGAAGGAATGCCCAGGTGATCGATGAACACTGTATAGTCAGAGCCCGAACCCAGGGAAAACAAGTAACCACTCCAATGTTCAGAGAGAGGCTTCTTTGACTCTGGATGCATCACATGACCCAGCACGCTGGAGAGAAGTGGAACCAAGGACGCCGTCCCGGCTGCATGGAAGTGTTTCCCAGACACGCCGGTATCCACATTGATGTAGGCCAAAGCCTGGCGCAGGAGGTCCTCCTGCACCTCGCCCCAGGCAGTTGAGCCCAGCAGGCCGTACTCCTCACCACTCCAGGAGCAGAGGTAGATTGTGCGCAGAGGCTTCCAGCCCTTCTGCAGCAACTCCCCGAAGCCTCGCGCCACCTCCAGCATCTGGGCTGTTCCGCTATTGGGGTCGGCCGCGCCATAGACCCAGGCGTCTCGGTGGTTTCCAAGCACCACAGGCTGATCGCGATCCGCAGGAAGTGTCCCAGGGATCTTACCGATGACATTCCAGACAGGAGATGTTTGGAAATGGTTCTCCACCTGTAAGCTCACTTTCAACTGGTTTCGTGTGGGACCGGTCCTATACGTGATATTGAGTGCGCCACGGAAATTGTGCGGCACTTCGGGGCCGCCCAAAGACTCCAAAAACACCAAGGCGTCGCCGTACGAGATGGGCATGACCGGAATCTGCGGGATAAGCTCATCCTTGCTGAAGCCGCACACCTCCTCGACGCCTTGTCCATGTCGAGCATAGGCCCGAGTTGGATCGCCAGCGCAGAGTGAGATAAACTGAATGGAGCCGCGTTGCACGCTGCTCTTCGGTCGCCAGGGCCCGTAGGGATACACACTACCCTTGGCATAGCCATCCTCCTCGGGGTCCGAGTAGATGATGGCTGCCAATGCACCCGCCTTCTGCGCATTCCAGGCCTTCAGGCCACGAAAGCACTCGCCGTAGCGCATGAGTACGATGCTGCCATTCACCTCAACACCGGCAGCCTTCAAAGTTTCAAAGTCCTCTGGCAGCCCGTAATTGGCATAGATCACAGGGGCTGTGACCTGCCCAGAAGGCGAATAGCCGTTGAAGCTGTGATTTCTCCACCAAGTGTCGGAGGTGTTGTCAGAGGCCAAGATATCCTCCGAGAGGGATGCTGAGGCAACCACATGGCCAGAGCCATCCAGCAATTTCAAGGAACTCCTGATGGGGTACGTCAGGAGAACCTTCTGAGGATCCAGCACCGCATTGATGCCAGCTTCCTGGAACCGTTTGGCCACAAACTGGGCCATATAGAGGTCTCCCTCAGTGCCTGCCACGTGTGGCCTGCTGGTGATATGCTCCAGGGAGGCTCGCGCTGAGGCGTTGGAAGGGACCGCCAGGAAGGTCGCCTCCTCCTGAGAGATTTGAGGACCAGCGACATGCAGGCTCGCCCTGCCGTCGTAGAAGGAGTTCTCATCTTCCAAGGTGCAAGCGCGGCACAATGGCCACAGCACCGCAAGGGCCCATGGGCCAAGACCGACCACCTGGAGCACCGCCATGATTAAAAACGACTCTGAACCAAAGCGGCTGCCGAGACCAGGGCTGACAAACCAAGACCATTGTGGACCTGTTGGTCAAGATTCTACTCCACGCATTTTCGAAGTGAAACGCTGCCACATACGTGCTTTGGTGGGATTCAAGCTGGGAGACCGCTGGTCGAGTTCGACCTGCTGCAAGCTCACCAGCTGCTCTATGTGAAAACTCATCGCGCCTTTGGCCACGTCTCACCAGCGACACCCTACCTCTCCCAAGAAGACTCACAATCTCGCCGCGCTGGCCCAGCCCTTGCTCTCGCATTTCCTCAGGTAGATTCAGGTGAAGCACACGCTGGCTGCAGTCAGCGCCTAACTTGAGTTGAAAGCCTTGGCCAGGCTGCGGTGTATCTCATTCTTGTACTGCACAAAGGCTTTCTTCAGAATGCCAGTCTCACCTTAGCCCAGCCGCGTCATAGGAGCAGGGGCCAACCAGTATGGGTGCCAAGTCAAGCAGCCTGTGTCCAAATTTCGCACCAAGAACCTCAGCCAAGCTGACAAAACTCAAGCCCTTCCCAGCACTCCCACCTTCTGTTTTACAGGCACCAACCCTCTCAGCAAAGCAACGGGAGGACCTTGCCCTCATTCCGGTCCTCTTGGTCTCCATTGGCCTGGGAAAGGGCAAAATTGCTACATCTTCAAGCAGACGGAATTGACGGACGGGCAGGGACAAGTTCAGAGCCTACCTTTGCGCCAAGTGGCCCCGCTTGCTCCTGCCATGCCAGCTTCGGCCAACGGAAAACAACGAAGCACGACAAGCAGAAGAACAAGGACAGTGCCAATGAACATGCAATATGACTGTTGAAGAAGACAGAGGATAAAGATGACAACGAAGACGAAGGGTGTTGATGCTTGACACAACGTGCGGTGATTGAGTTGTCTTCTTCTTCTTCCTTCTTCTCTTCGCGTATTGTGGTGCATGTCCCTGGCCTCGGCTGAAAGCTCGCGGAATTTCCACGGGAGGCTCCTCGCCTGGCGCCAAGGTGCCAAAGTGCGGCAAACACCTCCCTCCTCCCAAGATCAAAACATGACAGATCCTGCCTTCCTGCGGCACCGGCGTGGGCGGTGCACGAGGGACCGCCTGAACTGCCCAGTGTACTTGGCTGGTGTTCAGGTCCTTGATGACCTTGCAGCATGGACACGCTGCAATGGCTCCCTGCTACCATGTCAGCAAGTTCATCCGAGCCACCGTGAGCTGGGCATCTTCCTGCACACTCCAACTACGTTCAGCTTTTTGTCGCAAGCGTCCAAAGTAATCCACGCAAACCGCTCCTCCCAACTGTAGGCTGCCTCTAGGGCCGACAGCCTGCTCCAGCACAGCCAGCGGCATGAACAAAAGATCAGCACATGGCGCTTTGACTTGTCAAAGTTTCAGCCAAGATGCAGGCGATGCGAAACTTTGAAAGACGAAGCTGTTCTCAGCAAGTCGGTGGCATTGTAGGTGCGCGCCCTCGGCGGATCAAGCGGTGACATAGTCACAGCCAGCGAAGCCCTTTTGCAAGCCCTTTTGCAAGCCAGGTCGCTGGGTGAATTTCTTCAAGAAGCTTAGGGCCACGCACCTCGGCTTCTTGGCCCGTGGCCCCTCCAATTGCGCGGTTGCTCAGCTTGCAGCCGATGCGTGGTTCGCAGGTATGAAAAGTCGCTAGTGCACAGCTGGGGCGCGTCTCCAAGCCCCCAAGCTGATCTTGGATCTCGTAGAGCAACGCCAGGCCCACTTGCACGATGATGCGCCAGCCAGCCACCAGGAATCCTTGGGCCCAATGCTTCCAACTAAACTACGGCTCAACCTTCCATCACAGCCCTCTGAAGCCAAGTTTCTGTCCCAAATGCGCCACACAACCTTCTGAGGAAGATCGCTTGCGAAGAGAGACAGAAACCTCGCTTTTGATAGTGCTGATCAGCCAGGCAAGACAAGCACATAAAAGCCAAGGATGAACTGCAGCCGCGCAACCACTGGATTGCATAGTATTCTGAATTGACACCATGCTTGGCCAATGCGGCATGCACCTTTGGCAGAAAGCCTTCTACAATCCGATCAAATTGCCAAATAATGACCTGAGATGACTCCCTCAAGAAGGCAAGCAAGCCCAGCACGACATGGCGACCAAATGCAGAAAGAGGAGCGCCAAGCTTCGGAAAATTTGGGCGGTACAAGTCCTAAGCCAGCAATCCCAAGCATTGCCTTTGCCTTTGCTGCAGGCTAGTGCATTGGTGGTTTGTCAATTTGTGGCATTGCCTTGCGTCTACAAACTTTGATAATTGCAAGACCATGAAGACTGCCAGAATTTGCAAATTCCATGGGGTCTGCAAATCCTGGAAAGTGGCTGCCAGGAATGCTAGTTACTACCGGCAAGGCTCCACAAGAGAATGTCGAAGAAGCAATGCGAGAGAGCAGTTGAAAACGACGGGCTCATCATCCGGAAACACCTAGAAGCCAAGATAGGCAGTGGATTGATTGGCAGGAAGCGCGCATTGTCTTACAAGTCATTCTGACCGTGCACTGTCTGTGTCTGTGCCGGTCTGTTTCTCTCTGTCTGTCCGTCTGCCTCTCTCTCTCTCCGAGACACTCCGATGAGTGTGGCCACAATGAAGTTCAGACTCTGACCTTGGTATCCGATGTACTTGGTTGCTATGACACCCAGTGTGGCCACCGCGGGCCCTTGATTCTAGAATCAACTGTCAACCTTCTAGGTTATCAAATGGAAACTCAAATCCAGCAATGCCAAAACAAAAAGAAGAGGAAGCTCCTGCAATCAAAGCTCAAATCCAGAAAATACTAAATCAAAGAGGTCAAAGCCAGCCTCGAAGCAAAGCTCAAGGAATACTAAACTTGAGACAATTCCAAAACTATTGATTGGGCCCAGCGAAAAAGAAAAAAAGAAGAAACAAAAACCTGTTCCTGCGTCTCCATCGTTTGGGGGGCGAGGGGTACCTAATTCATTGGTGGACATGTTTCCATATGCAGGCGCGCGGCAGTAGCCGACATCCCATAAACGAATTGCAAGCGCTCGTAGTAACCTGCGCACCCAAGGACTGAGATTCAGGTATGCCAGGTTTGTGTGGGAATCTGCCAAGTACAAAGCACAAAATCCAAAATCTGAGAAGCCACAGGAAGCCCAAACCAGGCCGTGCCAAAGTGCTGAAACGAGCGCGCTCGCCTGAAGAGGGCGAGCTGGCCTTTGCCCTGCCGCTCCCGGAAGAGCTCCTCTTGCGGAAGGGTGCGGTGCACATCACGCCTGGCGGGATGGTTCTGCGGTTCTTCCAATGGGCCGAAATGGGCTTGAAGTGCGGTGGAGGCCTTGTGGGGGCCAGCCTGATTACCACATTTACGTCAGGGGCAACTAGGATCAGCCTAAAAATTTGCTGCAGGCAACTAAGGTTCGTGCATCTCGAATCCAGCCAAAATGCAACAAATGAAAACCACCACTTGGGGTGTGAAAGTGATACCAGGCAGCAAAGAATGCCCGTGGAGGGAAACTTAGGGCAGCCTGCGGCGTGATGCCTGGCATGCGGGAGCTCCTGTTTGTTTGCTGCTGAGTGCACCTTGGTGCTGCTTCTGGCACGCTTTGCTCATGACTGCTGAGTTCAGTTCGGTCTTACTCAGGTCACTCCGCCACTTTGTCGGCATAGTGCCCATTGCAGGTAACATCACAGCACTGCAACGCATTTGCAGAATTGAATCCAGCCAGGCGTGCTTAATAACAGAATCGAAGGATGACGTTCGATCGCATAGCTTCTCCTGCTGCCGGCCAAGTGCAAATACAATCAGGACGGGTGTGCTAACTGCAAGCCAGTGGCGTAATCATCTTGCGGTGTGCCGGCTCTCTGTTGCAGCGTGATGCCGCCCAAAAGCAGCTCCTGGCAGTTTCCACGCCCAACGCTGGCGCAATGCCGAAGCAAATGGCCCAAGCTCTGCCCAAGCTCCCCAGTCCTTCCAAGCTCTGCCACGCAGAGGTCCCAGGTCTTCAGCCCACAAGGCCTGCACTCAACAAGCCCCGAATGCCTCGCTGAATGCGAAGCTGAAAATGCGCGAGCCATGGCACACTGAGATTGAACCCTGCAAGTCAGTCTTTGCAACGGCCTCCACCATTGGCTGCGACAAGCCGCCAGGCCTCGGCCCGACATTGGACATTCAATTCCAAAGCCCAATTACGCTGACACCTACAATCTCTGTCGGCTCCATGCTGTTCACATCCCACATATTTGTCAACCAAAAGGACCTGCATGCTAAGGCTTCGGCAGACCATCGCGCAATTCCTCGCAAGGATCACGCCCCGCAGCTGCCAAGGACAGCCTCCGGCATTGAAGCAAGTGCCATTCAAATTTCCGCAAGGCTGGCTGCGCAGCTATGCATCTTACCATCACTCAACGGTGCCAACTCGAATTTGAAGTCGGCATGGCCTCCTCCAGTTTGTACATATTGCCCGGCAGCGCCGCGCCTGTCACTGCATTCAGCTGATACCGCAAGAGCCTGCAAAACTCTAAGCCGAACTGTATGCCCTGGCTCCTCGTTCAAGACAATGACGCTTTTTGCTAGTCAGTTCGATGGAGATTGACCAGAACTCTTCATCTTCATGTGCATGTGCGTCGTACAATTTGGTCCCAAACACATGCATATGCATGCATCACGGTCGCACTTTGGCCAAAAAGGCTAGGGCTGAAATGTGTCAAACCAAACCAGTCTTGCGGCAGCATCCCCCACGAAATTGCCCGGTTGGTGCCCTTTCGGCCCGCCTCTGGCAGGCTCAAGTGCCATTGCAGCCCCACCTGGAACAGCCTTGGCCAGGCATCTTCTGGGCCTGTCGCCAGTATCAAACGGGCACCGCTCTGAGACGCTGAGCAGCCCAACCATCCCACCCTTCCGTCTGAAAAGGCTGAGGACAGCATATGCTTGTTTGGCCTTCCCTTCCCACCTGAACAAGAACTTTGCACAACTGCTTGTATTTGCAGAGAGTAGCTTTCTGCAGGGGGCACAGAAATTCTTGACATTATGTGTATGTGTAGACGAGCAAATGTAAATCTGCATGTATACGAATGGTAGGCACTTGTACGGATGGAAGTTTCGCAGCCTTGGTCAGCCGTAGCTGCATCCGCCATGCCGGGTGCCAGCGGATGCTCAATACGTGCACAAGCTGCTTGCCACGCCGCAGCTTTCTTCATAGTACTCGTGAATTCCCCAAACTCGGATAACGGCAGGTGCCTGGTGCTTAGCTGAAGGTCTTCGGCGGTGATCTGACAGGTGCGCCTACGCAAATTGCTTTGCATGCATGTTGCAGCTTCGAAGGCTCGAGCTAACATAGCTAACATAGCCAACGGGTTTCTGCCTGCTTGGCAAATTGGCCACGTGCTTGGCTGTGTGAAACTTGGCTTGGGCCCAAAGGAGCGGGCATCAGTCTGGCAGATTGCCCGCTCAGGTGCAGAGATTGCTGGTTCATGGCGTGTCGGGATTCTTGCCGAGTAAAGCACCAGTGGTAATCACTGGTGAAAAATACCATGTGGTGCCTCCTGCTGCCATGAAGCACCTCCGGCATCCTTGGAGGGCTGCTTGCATGCTCCATAACGGCCACGCAGAAATGGCCCGCCCCAGTAAGCAAGAATAACGCATGCAAGTGTAGCAACACCGCCATTTAGCCCGCCACTCGCAGGCTGGCCCGAAACCTCAAACAGGAGCTGCCACCAGCTGTGACAAGGACATGACAAGATCTTGAACTGCGTGAACCAAAACAAAGGGCTTACCCTTTCCATCCCTTTACTAGTTACTAGGATCAGAATTCCTTCATCCAGCGTTTGCATTTTGGAAGTGCGTTGTTCCGAAGCAGTAGGTCCAAACCATGCCCCTCAGAACCGCTGACAACATTGGAGCTGATACACCGTGTCCTGCCAGTGCAGTCTCAGGCAAACGCTGCTCGTCCGGACTGGCCACGACAACGCGTCATTTTTGGAGGGCCCCTGTCCAGCCCTGGACCCGATTCATCTAGCGATTCTCCGCGCCAACTCATCTTTCACCAATAAATTCACGCTAAATGTCGTTGCACTGGCACATTGCGGAATCTAGTTTCTTTCAGGACCCCATCTGGATGAGGACCCAGGTGGAAACCGCCGGGACACAGTGGACATCAAAACATGCTTTACTCCAGGGACGTTCATCCCTTCATGATGGAGGGGGCATTGATTGTTAGGCTGAGGAATGTCGACAAGCAAACGACTCGCCATGGCAAAATCACGACTCGTGGGCGCTTGCCTGTCCAGACGAGTGCGGGAGTGCCGCCACGGCAGGTCACTTCCTGGCACTCCAGGGGCCAAAGGGAGAAGGCAAAGCTGGCATTGGCAAAGTGCGGGGGAGACGGTGCAAAGGTTTCAGCGAGCAAAGAAGCTCGCCAACGGCAAAAATACTGAGATGTCAATCTGTCTCATGATGTGTGTGATCTCTGCGCCTGCGTCGCTGCATGGATGCAGCACTTTTGCCAGCGCACACTGGCAAACCGAGTCAGCCAACGAAGTCATGGATAAACTCCAATCCCTCGAACTTCATCTCATCCACATCCACAAAAGGGGGGTTCAGTAACATCTCCCCTGCCAGGTTGAACACGCAGATCTTGGTGGCCGTCCTTGGGCCAACCTCCAGAGCTTTCAAAGCTGCATAGGTGTCGTTGGTGCCGGGCACCTTCCTCACGGCTGCAAAGCCCCACTCGGGCTCCAACGGCCCAATGTGAAGAGTTTCGATCCTGGAGAAGTCCTCTGCTGCCAAGAGCAGCACGTTGGTGCCGCGGGTCTCGTCCTCTGTCGGCGTGTAGGCATTCACACTCGCCTTCCGTGGCAACACGATCCAGCGGCGAAGCCAGGAGTCCCAAATGACGGCCTCATGCCACAAATAGCCCGGGCTTCGAAGTCCCAGAGTCGACCGCAGGACTTCGAACTTCTGCCTCCAGTCCAGGCTCTCCACGTGGAGCGTTCGATCAATTTCTTTTACCCACTGGGGATTGTAGTGCTCGATCCGCCCATCGTCACCAACCCATTCACGGCCCATGCTGCCCACCAACAGCTGCCCGTCCTGCATAAAATCAAGGTGGGAGCAATAACAAGCAGCCGGCTTGGGCGTTAACACAGCACATGCTGAAAAGCGGGAAAAGCCTTGAGCATGGAGGAAAAACAACTGCGCCACTTGGCCACAGCAAAGTATGCCGTCCTTCACCGTAGCCCATTCAGACTTGAAGGGCTTGGTAGATCTGCCATTGCCATCCGAGAGGACAAGTCTTTGGATCGCCTGGCCAGCCTCGAGGTCAATCTCAAAAACGATGCCCGTGATGTCACCTAGCTTGGGCTGGCCAATCAACTTGGATCCATTTTTGCGCAGCTGTTCCCATGCCAATGTTGCTGCAAAGCGGCAGAAAGCAAAGAGTCGGCCCTGGTATCTCACCAGCTCGCTCAGCTCCATGCTCCGATTTTTCACGGAAAGGCTACTTTCCAGCTTTTTGGTGTCTGTCCATTCCAGCCTGTAGCCGTCCCCCTCCTCCACCAAGAGGCCTCAGACGGCCACAAACTATTTTACAGCAATGCACAGAAGCAACCTGCACTGATGGACGGCTTCCAAGACGAAAAGAACTGGGACCTGCCTCGGCGCAGCCAGGCGTGCCATTTGAACTGGTTCAAGTCCCTGGACTTCTTGTCCAGGTCCGAGACCAGTGCAAATTCGAACCTGAGCTGCAGCTCGGGCTGACTGACCCCCCCCCCAAACAGTTCTGAGGCCAGGGATGGGTAGAGGTGTTTTTTCCCATTTTTTTCCTAGGGCTGGGTTTCCGCAGGGCTGGCAACATCCCCTGCATCACCAGCATCA